CGGGAGGGCGCGCTCCGCCTCGCCGCCCATGTGCACGGGGCAGACGGAGATCAAGGAGACCTTCAAGTACATCAACACGGTGGTCTCCTGCCTCGTCTTCGTGCTGGGCATCATCGGCAACTCCACGCTGCTGCGCATCATCTACAAGAACAAGTGCATGAGGAACGGGCCCAACATCCTCATCGCCAGCCTGGCCCTGGGCGACCTGCTCCACATCATCATCGACATCCCCATCAGCGTCTACAAGGTGAGCGGGGCAAAAGCGACGCGCCGGGGCATTCCCGTGGAATCCGGCCCCTAGGAGAGCAGGACTCCCGGGAGGGCTGCCGTGATGTTGCTTTTAGCTTTGCTAAGCCGTGCTGCGTGGGCAGGTTTTTGAGTTTAGCTTTTCGTATCAGCTGTGGTTGCTCCCAGAAGCTGTTGAAAGCTGTTGAAGCTGCTGAATCTTTATCCTTCCGAAGCGGCGAAGCAGTGAACTCACAACTCGTCACGAGCGTGGCAAACTGTTGAGCTGCATAGTTTTGATTACGTGAAAATTTGCTACTATTAGCTCTTTTGGTGACTTCCATAACTATACATTTATCAAAGTTTTTATATGAGGCTAGCAGTCTTCTGAGCGAGAGTGGAACTTATGAAATAAAACACTCGAGACGATTTTTTTTTGAATAACTTTCCAATTGTAAGAAACTATTAACTGAATAGAAAGACTTTTTTTCCCTTCAATTCTCAAAAAAGGGGCAAAAAATAGTGTATCAATAACACAATTGCTCACACAGCAGCATGATTGCTACTTGCAATTGCAGGGACACAGACATGTCAAAATTAAAGACATCAGTGATAAAAATCAGTAATATTTTACAGTCCTTATCTTGGCCGAATATCACCAAGTATATCATCGTGAGTAGGTTGGAGCTGGAGGAATGAAAGGTCAGATTGCCTGTTGATAAATATTAGACAAGCTGCAAGTCTGGCTTTTTTACTGTGCGGCTGCTGCTAGTGCCAGGAGCTGAGCATAAGCTCTCAGGTGATAAAGTTTCCACACTGACACTCATCTTAACCAAAAACCTACGTTGAAATTACACTATCAAGGAATAAAGCTATCAGTGAGTAAAATATTTTCTGTCTTTAAACAGGAATTTTGAATAAGTGTAAGCAAGAAAGGAGAGAAAAAAAAAGAGATAGATTGTATTTATTTGATTTTTTTTCCATCAAAGTTAAAGCATTTGTCTGTAATAAGAGTTGATAAATGAGATACGGATTTAATAAGAAATTAAAGCCACCACAGCATCAAATCTGGCTGTAATCAACTAGTAGTATGGGGGGAAAAAAGTCAGCAAAGTCTTATTTTGTAAATCAAGTATACTTAACAGCTTTAACCTGCAATTTGAAACAATTTTAAAGGGAATGAAATAGCTCTTCAAAATCACTGTCAGATACACAACTAGACAGCTACACAGCAAAGGGTGTGAAAGAATTTGTTACATTAAAAAAATGCCATGGATTTATACAACAAGACCTCACTAGAAAGTGTGGAAGTGCCTGTGAACGCTTTCCAGATCAGTCCATAGCAGATAACTCGGAATTTTCACTGGGATCATAACTTTATTAACTGTTAAATGTTATGACTGCAAAAGATGTCCCTGGTGTATTTAAGTCAAGTGAATATTCAAGTAGCTGGAAAAGATATACTAGGGCAGATTCAAATCACCCTCAGTTGAGGGTACTTAGGGAAAACCAGATATTATCTGTATTTTGAGTTGAGAAAAATGCAGTCTAATGTGTAAAATGCTACTTATAGTCCATCACTATTGATACGTTTGAATGTTAACATTCACCAAGACATTCAGCTGAAAATGGAAAATATTGCAGTGTTTCAAGTAATTGGGAAACTGGGTATGAGAAGGGAATGAGATGATTTGGTGATTTCTGCTCTGGCTTGCAGAACACGGAAGATCTTTTCAGCTTTTGGGGTCGTGGCAAACAGTCTTCTTTGGCTCTAACCCCAGAACTGCAGAATGTGAAGTCAAGAAAAAAGTGAAAACAATCACTCTGCAGTATGAAATATTATGGCAGTATAGGTCCTGTGCCAATTATTACTAGTTATGGAGGATAGGAGGATGCTTTTATGTCTGGATCAACTGCTCACAAAGACAGACTAAGTTCGGGTGTCTTCATTAATTCAAGGCATACAAAGCTGCAAACAGCAGTTCTGCGTGTGAGCAGAAGGGCACAGTAGGAAATAATATATTGCAGTGGTGAGCGAGCTCTGTGTGTCCTTCTCTGTACGTGCAGTGCGTGGAAGGCTTGAAACGGTGGCAGCTTGTTTGCTGGACTGTGCAGCCCTGCGGTTCGGGGGGGAGGGTTATGCTCAGTTTCACAAAGTGGGGAAGGTGGCAACTCTCATGTGTAAGACATTAAAACAACATTGAGACTGAAAATTCCAAACTTAATGTTGTTGCGCAACATTAGGTGTGCCTTCCACACATATATCTATAATGATATAGGAGCACATACTTTATAAAACTATGTCGTTTCTCAATATTCTAATACCTTGCCTTCTCGTTTAGTACATAAGCACCTTTCTCTCTCAGTGTTTACTCTCTTGTATTAAATCCAATATATTGCTTTATTCCCCAAGACTGTGAACAGCAGAGACATTTTGGGTCTGGTCATAGTTTTGCTTCAAATATTCACACAGAGATCAGTGCACACTCTACACATACTTGTGTGGCTTTCTGAACTCTGGCTATTAATTTGCTATGACACAAATGAGCAAGGAAGTATTTATACTAGAAAAACTGTCACAGATTCCTTTATCTCAGTGCAAGATGTAGGGGTAGGAAAAAAAGAAATTTCCAGGAATGACTAAAACCCCATCATTATCCAAGCAAATGATCAAAGGCCAAAGGCAGCTTTGTAGAAAATTTCTTTTTCTGTAAGGTATTTTAGGGATTACATTAAAAATATATAGCTAAATAACATTATATAGCATTGCCAAACACTGAAAATATAAGGTGGACCAGATTAGGGACTGCATATCCTGTACAGCCTCATTTTGACCCTCTTCCTAATTCAACTGTGCTCTAGAAAAGGCAGAGTTTCCTTGGATGCATTCGCATGATGGTCTTGGGTATTCTGGTGGTACAAGTACCTATAGAGCATGAATCGGCCTACACGATGAAGTTCATCTCTGTCACTAGTCTATCTTGTGTTGAAGAACTGAGAGAAATGAACAGTTTCCTTTCTTTCAGTGCATGAACCATTTTCCTGAGCTCAAATTCATCTCTGGGGAGAAATCAAGCATTGAGAATTTCTTACCCAAACTTTAAGCTATGACCATATTAAGTTACAAGTTTTGTTTGTTTGGCATCCCTGTATGGTCATCAAACAGATGGGCACTTAGCAAAGGCTGCAGCACCCTTTGCTAAGATCTGTATCTTCTGCTGGAGAAACCTGCCTCTCTCCACAGGCTCTAGAGAGGACAGGGACACCACAGTCCAGGATTTGGGTTGGCAGAAATGTTTGTATGCTGTTTGTGGTCCTTGATACACTGTTTTCTTGATGGATCTCCAAACTGAAATACGTTAGGCTCCATCACTGTAAATTTGTAGATTGAGTGTTTCTTTGTTATACATACATTTGACATTCACTCAAAAGAACTATGTGCAGGTTTTCAAAACCAGTTTTCAGCTGCTGCCTTTTTGCTTCCATCCTGTGCTTATACTTACTAATTTTACAGTAACACGGTTTACTTAATAGTTACTTTTGCCCCAGTCCTTTCACTGGAGCATATTATGGGGTTTCTGTCATTTTCAAGATCTTTGTATGATATTACTTTAGCTTAATTCAGCATTTAAAAAAATAGAGTTTATGAGCAGAAGTTAATAATAAAAGAACAGAAAATGGAACTATTTTTTTGCCTCTTATTCAGATTTGTAGTGTTTGTGAGGCGGACTCGGTAAAACATTCTTAGCTTAATTAGGGAAATGGAAATGTACTTTCTTCCCTAGAAGATGATTTCTACTCTGACATAAGAATAATTCCTAATTACTGTTAAGTAGTAACAAGTTCCTTAATGTTGTCTGACTCATCTCTGATCATTAACTTTATTTTCTGAGCAAACTCACGTTAGGAAAATACTTGCTCATATGAAATGCGCAAAATGCTTTGTGAGTCTGCATGACCTCTCTGTCTTCCCATGTATCAGGAAAGATATGAACATGTCAGTGAAAACCTGCCAGTCATTTCACAGATAGGTTTAAAAAAGTTGCTTATGGGTTGGTTTTACAGCTGCATGTCTGATTTCACGTGTACCTGTGATTGACAGTTGGGGGAATCAAGTGATATTGTACAATGAACGAGGTGTGCTTGGAATATGCATGTCAGGAGAAGTAGGAGCGCTTTGCATTTTCCCGTGTGTGGAGCGCTAGGACCAGGACGCAGGCGTAAACAGGCGCTCACTCGGCTGCATCTTCGTGCCTGGAAGCGGGCTGGATCTGTGGCACCAGCTTCCTGGCCGGTGGCCGCAGCAGCTGAGCCACCAAGAGCTGAGCATCAGTCTCACACTGGCATAATCCAGCAGCAGGTCACTGACATCCTCCTGTTGCTACACAACGGAGAGGAAGCAGGAATTGTAGCTCACAGGTGTGTCTCTGACTCACCATATCTCTCGGGACCGCTTTCCTAGTTGTGCAGCTGTCACAACAGCGTGGGCTCAGGTCTGCACCTCTGCGCATTATTTGCTAGGCTGTTCATCAGATGGAGCAACAGGGTTCTGCATAAAACTAGTGGGTTTTTTAATGATTTCACATCAATCTAGAGTTTATTCTGTCCTTTTCTTATGTTTAATCTTTAACAAAATTTAAGCTTTAGCACATTTCTGTGACTTAGTGGTTAAAATTTCTGCTTTTTCCTTTTACCTAGATTATTTTTTTCTTCACATATCAGAATAGAAGAAATTTGACTTGTGTATTAAAATACACAAATTTCACAATGTGTCAGCTACAACAGAGAGTGTATTTTTTTTCCAATCCAGCACAGACAGTCCTGTCTGTTCTGCGCCTGATTTAAGCTGTCGGAATGCAAATCCCGTTTTGGTGCGATGCTGAATCCAAACTAATGCACCTTTTCTGTCACTAAGTCATCCTCACCCATGTGCAACTCCCCTGTAATCTAGCCATAACTGGCTCAGATCTAGTCCCCTTGATTTGGGGAACAGGTGAGTCTGGCTGTGCCTGAGAGAAACATGAGTTCTGGGGAAATCTCCGATGTGCGGCTAAGCAGTTGTTATTTTAGGGATTAGGGGAATGCCTTCCACATGTACCAGCTCGTCCTATCTTAAAATCCTTCAAATTAAGATCTGTCAACAAATATTTGATCAAATATCTAAGTTTCAGGCTGGGGAAGTTTTGATATTAACTAGAATCATCTCTGGTTAAATAAATACAGATATACTTGTTACTAAGTCCTGGGTTTTTATAGCAATTGAGTGTGGGACTCTGGAAGTTCATTATTATAAATAACTGGTCCAAGTGCCATTTGATTTTAAAGAGTATACATTTCAAATACCTGTAATTATTCACATTGATATTTTAATAATAGTTGGTTACTATCACTCCCTTATGGCACTTAGAGAAGCCTCACGGGAGAGGCTTTTACTGGAAATACTTTTAATTATGAAGACTGAGTTATTAGCCTACATCACATAAGCAAAACATACTACATATTCTGTGGTTATTAGACCTTCATCCCCGTTTCCTCTGTTTTATTGCCTTCCATGAAATTCTCTAGAAACGTGAATCATTCAGATTTGTTTTTCTGTTTCATTTTTGTAGAAGTGCTGTTCAGCTCAGTAGGTCGTTAAAGAAGTAGTTCAAATTTCGGCTATGCTACAATTTTACTACTGCTGTTTTTTCAAAGGCCCCATTTCAGCACAGGACTAATGCAGATCTGAAACTGTTCTTGAGGATCTTGGTGGGCATTATATAGGGATTTCCAAAGCACTTGGTCATGCAAAACACATAGCTTCCTTTGGGTTGAAATATAATGGTACTTAAATGATATGGGGGCTTTGGCAAACCTGTTTGGATCATGTTCGTGCAATTGTTTATCCTTACATGTATGTGTATAAGATTTTTGCTGTATTGAAGCCAGTGGGAGCAGGCAACTGCATGCCTATCTTGAATCCTCAGTATCGCTCCTCAGTAGAAGTTATACCTTATAATGATTTATTTCTTCTTTTCTTACATCCCTGTTGCCAGGAAGATGCCGAGGAGAGCTGAGCTATTGGAAGGGTTTTGTAATGCCAAAACTCCCTTTGGCAATTATCACTTTTTTTTTTGTTTTCCCTCTACTTTGACACTTTGTAGCCCTATATCTGTGATAGATCCAAAAGGCCTCATTTGTAGAAAGATATGGAAAACAGAACCTTAGAAATGGGCTTAAATAATGTGACTAATTACAGAAACTCAGAAAATGTATATTTTTGTATGTAACAATTGTCACTGTTTCTTGGCATAGCCTCTACTCTGGAGAGTCTTACTTTTATGAGGAATTGAAGGATTTGGCTCCTGACATGATGTATTCAAGATGTCAGAGTAGCTCACTGCAGAATACAAAGATCAAATTCATCCAAAGTAAAGTTATAGGCAGCAGTTCATAGCCTCAGCTGTGAGGAAGGTATTCACAGGATTCCTGAGCTATTCACCCAGTAGGCCTTTTCCTCTGAATTAGCTGAAATGTAGGAAATCTTAACACATGAGACTCAAAGAACATTTGAACCAAGGTAAAATTCAGTGTGCTGTTGCCTTTATTCAATAGCACATATGAGTAAGTTGAAGGTGCCATTAGGCCTTTTGGTGTTGTAATACAGAATCAAGTCAGAACTGGTCATCTGAGAACTCCAGATTCATCTCATCTGTCTTCACCTGCTGCAAGACACCTAGTGCAAACTGGATGTTTAGGCTTCCTGGGTATCCTGTGGAGAGGAAAGGCACCTCCATAAGGCGATTCCAGTTGTCATGAGATAGTCCTCTGAATTCTGTGGGATTCAGTTCCCTGGCTTCTCAGCTGAGGGAGACCTGGCTTCATTTAAATCCCACCACAAGTTTGCAAACATTGTTTTTACCTGTTCTTATCAGTCTTGAGTCACTTTCTGTAATTCTAATAAATAGATAACTTTAAACAGAAAAAGCAATGATCACCAAGTGTGCCTATCACAGATGATAGGCAATATAAAGAAGAGGGAAATCCAAACCTATTCAGTCAGCTTTCCTATAATCCCTGAGGTAGTGAATTTAAAACAGAAGCAAGATGAGTTGAATTTGACAGGCTTTTACTAAGCTTTTTTGCACATCCTTGTCCAGCCTGCGAGTGACTATGATGCTGCTGCCCAGTCCTTAGGACATACACCTTGGAGACTCGCTCGCAAAATGGTTCTTTCTGACTAGGTTTTATGTGCTCAGATAAAACAATTAAGAGAAAAGCATATGTTGCAGATATAGGATTTTTAAAAGGTGTTTCATTTCTGATTGCATTGTTTTTTTTTTCTTTTCACAGCTACTTGCAGAGGACTGGCCCTTTGGGGTTGAAATGTGCAAATTAGTGCCCTTCATTCAAAAGGCCTCAGTGGGCATCACAGTGCTGAGTTTGTGTGCCCTCAGTATAGATAGGTGAGACCCATTTTTTCACCACACTGTAAAGTTTCTATTAAATAAGCACTTTGGCTCGATTTCTCCTTTCTGTTCAGCTGATGTAATACTGATGAGCTGCATTTAAGCCAGTTTAACCACATGGATTTCCTTACTTTTAATCTATAAACATGTCCTGTTGCTTCAGGTACCGAGCGGTTGCTTCTTGGAGTCGGATCAAGGGGATAGGAGTGCCAAAGTGGACTGCTGTTGAAATTGTGCTCATCTGGGTTGTATCAGTGATATTAGCTGTTCCAGAAGCTATAGCATTTGACATGATTACAATGGAGTACAGAGGAAAGCATCTTAGAATTTGCCTGCTCCACCCTACACAAAAAACATCCTTTATGATGGTAAGACACAGGTGTTTGTATCACACCTTTCTGAAAAAGTTCATTGAATCTTCTCAGTGCACTGTGGATTGAAATGTTTACAGACATATGTGAAATATATGTGAATGTAATGTTGAAATGAAATACTGATAATTTTCTGAAATATTCAGTTAAGAGGGACATTCAGAAATATTTCTCTTTTTGTAGGCTTTCGGCATACCACTTTTTTGTCCTGTTTCCTCGTAGAATCATAGAATGCGTAAGGATGGAAGGGACCTCTAGAGGTCATCTAGTCCAACCCCCCTGCACACGCAGGGTCACCTAGAGCACACGGCACAGGACTGCATCAAATGTGCAGGGTTTGAAGATCTCCAGAGAAGGAGACTCCACAACCTCTC